CTGCCGGTCTGCCGTTGCCCAGTCGTCGATCCATCCTGTCGGCTTTCTTCAAAGATCTCCTTTTGCGCGCCGCGATCGGGACGAGGCCGACTAAACACACGTGGAAGAAGACAACGACGAGAAGCAGCACGACGACCAGGACCAGCAGAGGCAGCCTGTGCAGCAGGTCGGCCATGAAAGGGCCGTTCGAAGGGCTGCACTGTGACGTCGGCGGTCGATCGTTCAACGGACAAGCCCGTCGACACAAGAAAGATCGGTGAAAGTTCTCTGCTCCAATGCGCGAGGCGTGACGACGATCCAACAAAACGACGATCTTCTCCAATGAGACTGGCGTCGTCGAAAGGGCGGCCGGTGGGAAAAGCATTTGAATTTTGGACCGTTGTCGACGATCGCCCGCCGCAGCATCTGAACTTGACGCCGGCTGGCATTTCGCGTCGACGGACGGAGGCCTCACAGCGCCGATTACCGTTTGGAGCCGTTTGGGCGCCGTGCAGAATTTCAACACAGGGATGTTCGTGCTCCGCTTCGCTGGACCACATCTGGACCACCCTCCAACCGAAATTGTACGTCGACGCATGCCCTCGCCGCTCCAAAATTTGCGCTTCCTTGTGCCACGAGGGACCTCGGGAGGTCCCTTGGGGCTAAGGAAAAATTGGCTGTGGCCACAAGGACGCCACAAGGAAATCTCCTTCTGGTGTTTTCACATTTTTGTTCGAGAATCTTCCCCGAGGACAGGTGGAACGGTCATTCCTTGTGGATTTCGGGTCCACGAGGAGTGTCTAACGAGGCCCTATGTAGAGGGGACCGCTGCAAGCATAGGGCCTCGCAAACGAGGTAATTCAGGTTGCCCCCCGCCCCAACAGCGGTAGTCAGAGATGGGGTGGGGCCGCCGGTGGGGGTCCGGCTAACGCAAAGACCGAGCATTTTGCCAGTAGCTGCGCCTCCCTTTCTCATGGTCCCCCAGCCCTCATAGCTGAGTTGGTTAAGCATGCAAGTGGCATTCAGGAGGTTGTGGGTTCAAGCCTCATGGCCGCCTGCGGCACACTTAGTGCCAACGGACTGTGATAGTCCTCTGGATACCCCTGATCGGTATTAGCAGGGTCTATGACCAACACGGGTGTGAGTGTGAGCGCGAGTGGGTTGTGTGTGGTGTGTGGGGGAGTGTTGGCTGTAGCCTCTGCTGCTACTCTATTGTTGGCCATTTGGTTCGCCACCTTTTTTTCTTTTTTTTTTTCACATTGGAACGGGCCCCGTGCCCAAGGCTTCCATCAACATAGCAGAGAATACGGTGAAGATAGCAGAGGGCAACTGGCCTAAACCAGAAAACAAAAACACTTCTCAACGAACTAATTCCTAATACTACGTAAATGCCGTAGAAACAAACCACCGAAAATCATATCACAAAAAACCTATGGCGAACACAACCACCAAACCCCACAGCTAAAACCTAAAACGAAGGAAAACCTGTAGAAAGCCACAAAACAAAAGGGCTACTCAACAATCGAATTCCTAATACTACTTAGATACCATGAAGACTCAAAAAAGCAGAACAGAAACACCAGAGTTCATATCACCAAAGCATCTATTGCATTGGCCGGAAGCTTCAATTCTACGGTTTTCGAACGGTGGGGTTCAATTCTATGGTTTTCAAAAGGGTGGGCGGGGGGGCTTGTTTTTGAAGCTTCGTGATTTTTTTTATTTGCAGAAATAGAGAATATTGAGATTTCAGTGGAAGACTGCGAAGAGGCCGGCGGGAAGGTTGCATGCAGATGTACCGTGAAGGCATTGCCCTCCTTTTAGAAGGACAGCTCTGTCGAACCGGGACACCCGCGAAGTGCGGATGCACAGGCTGTACTGTCATGACGTCCCTGTCAGACTATGTTTTTTTTTTGTTTTTTTTTTTTAAAACACAAAAGCAGACACTTTCCATACCAATCATCAACTTTGAGGCCGGGGACCTATTGTTCTTTTTTTTTCGTTTGGATCCTTTTTTTTGGATTCGTGTAAATGAAAAATACATTGTTTGTGTTTTTAAATAAAAAAAGAACGCCACACACGTTTTACGCGATGCTAGTCGGTCCGGTCCACAGCGGCGATGCTCATTAACCGATGTTCAGGACTCGTTTGTTCGAAAGAGTAACGGCCAAGTGCATTTGATGGCCGGTGTCTGGTGCTTATTCAGTTTCCCAGCTACCGTCTTTCCGAATGGAACGCCGGGTTAGTATCGCTATACCTAAGACTGCGAGGTCCCCCAAATGCATCTATAACGACCGGACGTTSTATTCGGGTAACGGGCAAGTGCATTTGATGGCCGGTGTCTGGTGCTCATGCAGTTTCCCAGCTACCGTCTTTCCGAATAGAACGCCGGGTTAGTATCGCTATACCTAAGACTGCGAGGTCCCCCAAATGCAGCTATAACGACCGGACGTTGTATTCGGGTGAGGACGGTAGGGGCTCGGTTTCTAGTCGGGAAACGCGAGGAGGTAAAAATAAAAATCGTTCACGTACGACAAGAGGGAGGCTCAGCTCGATCGGAGAGAGACGTTCGGCGTGAAAACAGAACGGTAGCGACTTCTGACATTTAACTGCTCAGCCCCATCACTGCCTTTATGATGTACTTTTCTTGATAGAGAATCTTGGACTGTTTCTCGATTTATGCGTGTCATCCTTGAAAGCGCAGGGACCATGCTAATTACCCTTCTCTGTATCGTTACAATTTTTAACGGATGTCCCTGTTCTTGAACAGGATCTGTTCTGTAGGTCGTACACTCTTCTGTATCTACGAACATTGATAGAGACTCTTGAAATCAGTGAGACCAATCAAATAAAAATAAAAATCAATGAGATCATACACCTTTCTCCATCTTCGCCCTTGGTGTGTGCGTCTTGAAGGGTTCGTCGTCGGCTCTATTTTCGAGGCTAGTCTATCTATGATGTCAGTCAGTACACAACGGTTCGTTGTGCTTTCTGTTTTACATACATTCCCCGTCTTCGTCGTCTGCAGGACGACAGACCCGTTCGCCATTATTTTTATTTTCACACTCACCGTTTAGATTGTTTTTTTGTTCAAATTTCCCGTTCCCGTTCTTTTCATTTTCACATTCTCCGTTTCTATTGTCTTTGTATCGCATGCCCGTTTTCCTCTTCTTTTTTTTTTTTTTTTTAATATCATGTGGCCGGATGGACCACGGATCAGATATTAAACTGATCAGAACAGATACTACACTTCTCCTTAGCAAAAAGGCCGAGAAAGGTCTTATTATTTTAATTTTTACACTTCGTTTCCATTCATTTTTCCTTTTAACACTAGTTTGGAGAATTTGGACAATTTCTCGATCCACATTCCCCGTTTTCATTTTTTCGTTCCGGTATTCACCCTAAGTGTTTGTGTTCTTTCATTTTCAGATTCTTTCACTTTCAGATTCCCCGTTTCCGTCGTATTTTCCCATTCCCGCTTTCCTACTTTTGATTGTTTCGGTTTTCAGATTCTTTCATTTTCAGATTCCCCGTTTCCGTCGTATTTTCCCATTCCCGGTTTCGTACTTTCGATAGTTTCGATTTTCAGACTCCCCGTCCTCGTTGTTTAAGGTCGTATCCCAGTCCCACCTCTCACGAAACTCGAAGCTAAAAGAACCGCTTTAGGGGCTGCTACGAAAATTTCGAAAAAGAAAAATGGGATCCCACATCCCCGGGAAGGCAAGGCTGCTTCTTTCACGAAATGGACGGTGGACTTTCGTGGGCGGTGTCGAAAAGTTTGGACCTGTGGAGGTGGAGGGCAGACATTCGGAGCAGATGTCACACAACCGAGATGTACCGTTGACATTGCACAAAAACCTGTGTGAAGCATGCGGACAACGAAACGAAAAAAAAAAAGAAGGAAAAAACCGCCCCTTCTTTTTCACGACACAAGACGGGGTTGGCCTCTTACGTTTTTCGAAAGAACTGCATAAATGCCAATCGCGGACGTCGCGCCACGTCGGCTCACGTTTCCACATCCCCGACAATGCAGGGCCGCCGCCGAATTGTCGGGGAAGTAGTCTGGATCCCGTTTTTACCCAAAAACTACATGCCGAACAAGAACTGGGACACGACTTTAATCTCAATTCTCCGTCCTTTCGGTAGCACAAGGGAGCCATCAAAAACCCGGAAAACATTCTCCATCCGCCTCGACAGCACGCAACACGCGCTCGCGCACACCCATTTCCGGCGCGCACGATCAGCATGAATAGAATTTCGGCAAAGCAGAGGAGAATATAAGGAGCGATGGTGATGGAGAGTGAAATGGAGCGACTACTTCGCTGTGCGTAATCAATCCAGGGGATAGAAAAGAAAATCATAAACTACAGCAAACCATTACATGTTCTCTCGACTCCAACGACAGGAGAGGACAAGGGACCCCACTCGGGCAGGCTAGAGGATTCAAAGCTAAAACAGCATTTCATTTCCATCTCCCCTAGTTACGGATTTATCCCTCCTTGTTGTAGATTAGTCCCCCCTAGTTACAGATTCATCCCACCTAGCTAAAGATTCACGCCCACCTGCTCCAGAGCACGATATACAATGCTTACGAACGACAAGGCGAGAAGCAGCTGCTGGAAATGCATACAGAAATTCGTAGAATGAGAAAAGGAAAATCGTCAATACAATTAAATTGGGTCTTCGGGACTTCCCTAAACGTTGGAACGATACAGACAAGGTTAGCACCCCGCCACTGTGCATAGAAATAGGAGGCATAAATCAAGACGATTCCAAATAGAGGGGGGCTTGGGGTTGTGGGGGGAGGCATGGCTGGTGGGACAATGCCCGACATCAACGAATGAAACCGTGCATACATAAATCAAACCCTCCAGGTATAGCTATAAAGCAATGAATAAATAAATAGAGATTGGTTCCAAGTTATACTTCTGAACACACCATTGTTCTATCCTTTCTTTTCATTAGGTTGTCTGATAAATGAATGGTTGCTATAAACCGTCCGATAAACTAATATACCATTATGAGCTTCACATTCTTTTTTACTTTCTTGTAATTGACATGTCTTCAAATAGAGGCGCCTCAGGCACATTCAAAATAATTTTACCGGTCAGCAGATTCCATCGGGACTCGAGCTCATGTCACTGCTTCAACACTCCATGGATGTACCAACTGAGCCAGGGTCGTCCGTCCGTAACTCGGCATTCTTCTCTTATTGACGGCGCGCAAAGAGACGGATTGCAAAAAAAAAAAAAAAAAAAAAAAAAAGCAACAGTTCGACGAAAGAAAACGAAACAAAAAAGCAAAAGGTGTTACAAAAGCTTTTGACCAGGCTGTTCGCCGTACTGGACGGCCGGGCTCAGACAACGGTTATCGTAAACAATAAAAAGTTTGAAGTATTTGACAAGCACATATCCCTTCTCTGCGACATGCACAGTTCAGAAGATAGAACAGACAAGAACCAGAAAGAAATTTCGAATTCGACCTCCTTCAACCAGAATGCTAAGGTACTCGCTTAACGGCGCCCAGCAGGAGATTTCGACGTCGTTCTTTTCCTTCTACCAAACCAGCGATCATCGCAAGAACTGACTAACTGACAAGATGGAGGACAACGAGGCACTGCCGCACCTCTTCACATCCACGTGTCTAATCTACGGACAAACAGGCTCAACTCCTCCATTAGTAAGATTTACGAAGGCGACGGCGACGAATGGAAGACTCGGATCGTTCCCCCTCCCCTCAGAAGATGAGTGAACACATCTATCTCGGGTGATAGCAACAAACTGCTCATACGCGGTCCTAGAGACATCAGGAACCACTTGACACGGAGAGAGAATAGTGAGGATACGGAGAGCGGGAGAGAGACAGAGAAAGAGGGAGATTGGGAGAGAGACAGACAGTAGAAGATATCATCAACTACATGATACAGAGAGAAAGAGAGAGAGGAGAGAAAGAGAGAGAGAAAGGGAGAGAGAGAGAGAGACGAGGCTCCGCTGCCGATGGTCATCCCTGACAAGTTAACTACCGTCCTATCCCACCCTTCCGCTCATTGTCGCCGCCGGCTCGCCCTCCAAGCTGGAAATGGGAGATGATGGGTGGGCTTCTCACTAACACGCCTTCCACTTGCAGTTGAAGATGAGCTGGAACTTGGTATCGTGGGAGTCGAGCGCCATCACAGCCTTCGTGCCCTCCACTCTCACCACCGTCTTGATGTTCAAGTTGGGAGCGTTGTTGCACTCGCTCCAGACAACCGTCACGAAGTCGTCAGTGAACTCGAAGCTGCCGACCTGGGGCCCCTTGATGGTGCGTTCGACCTTAGCCGTACCGGGTTGTCCGGAGAAGTAATAGTGTGTCTCGTAGAAGCCCTTGGACTTCTTCGCGATGTCGGCGAACCCGCGGCCCGTCGCCTGGCCAAGCGACACACTCCAGCCATCCGGATAGTTCAAGTAGAACGACAGCTGGCAATGCTTCCTCTTGTCGGCCAGCGACCCGTCTGTGGTCGCAACCATCCCGCCAAACATGAAGGTCAATGTCTTGAAGTCGTTGGACAGGACCCAGTTGCTGTTCTCGTAGTTGCAGCCAGAACCCGCATAAACGACAGAGTTAATCGTCACCTCCGGCGGCTGCGCGCTCGCAGGGAGCGCAGCGATCATCGTCAGGACCACGGCCGCGACAAATGCAAAACGCGCCATCGCCCTCGGCTTCAACTTCCTCTCCCTCCTCCTCTTCGAGGCGCTTAACTCAACGGCGCGAACGAACGAGGTCAGTACTCGTCGGGAAACTTGCGAAGGCAGCGGTGACGCAAGCAAGCCTCGCTGCTACGCTCCAACCCAACCGCACTCACTCCTCGCGTCTTGTCTGTCTAACCAGCGAATCACAAACACACGACTACCACGAACCGTGAGTGCTGAGCATGCTTGATCAACATTGAATGGCTCGATTCTACTTTATACACTCAATCATAGCACTTAGTGCTCGGTTCGCCTCGGTTCGGCTTTCTTGTGCTTGGAAGGAGGGCGCAGGAGGGTAGTGTCGACAGCGGGAACGGCGACTGACTGCTTGGCGAGCCATCCTGCTCACACATACCTTGCCGTTCTGCCCGTCGCTCACACGGACCTTGCCGTGTTCTTCGAATAGAACGCGTAGTCATACGAGGTGTACTTGGTGAACTTCAGGGCATATGGGCATCAGGGCACACCACTCTTTTTTTTTTTTTTTTTTTTTTTTTTTCGGGCACACCACTCTCGAAATGTGCAAAATGAGAACGAACTTCCCGCGAGAAATGGCCAGATGCACCCGCCACAGTTTTGTCGTTTTCACAATTCGAGAGTGGTGTGGCGAGGCCCTATGTGTTCGGCCTTCTATCGGAGATCGCCAGCCCGCTTCTTTTTTCCCTTTTTCTTTTTTTTCCATTTCTTGATTTATGCGTGTCATCCTCGCGTAGCACGGCCTAGATGACAGGGGCCGGGCCCCCACCGGCTGCCCCAACACTGCACCCTAAACGCTAGGGCAAAGGGGGAAATATG